GGCAGTGCCCCCCGTCCTCCGGCTTCCCAGGGCCAGACGAGTTGTGTGCTGAAGATTAGTGCTACGGGAGTGAAGCTGTTATGTTTCGTCGTCTCGGTCTGGAGGTAACATTACCCTGCTTCAGTCGATGCCGGCCGTCACAACTCTACAGCTCAATGCCACCGCGCACTTTGTCCAAGAGAGGAGCGCTACACACCGATCTCACCAACATGGCCTCTAGAACAAGTCGTCTGCCGCACTAAAATATTCCCTATCGTGAAAATCGACAAAATGGTTGGTGTTAATGCCAAGATTTATTGCATGGTGTCCATAGATGAAGATAAAACAGTTTATATTGTCGTCCGACGAAGCTTTCACCTGTTTGTTTGCTAACGCCTGTGAGTTTTAGAACCGTGAAGCATGACGGGAAATACAACGCGAGGGGTCAGCCCTCTTTCAGCCAACATACCGCCACGCTACTTGTAACAAAACTCACTTTGTGCGCCCTTCCTCTCACAAGACGAAACAAGACTTGTCTTGCCAAGGGAAAGACATTTTCTACCGACACAAGTCCACCGACCCCTGTTTCCGTGTCAACCGGAACAGACGAAGAAAGGGGGAAGAATTCATCGCCGCCACTGGCTTCAATTGGAACGAGACGGCAGTGGGGATGCATCGTTGAAGGATTTGAAAAAGTACCGACTTTGGAGTAATTACTCAATCTCGGCGCGTGCACAGGTGCAACACACCTTATGCGTAGACGCCAAAGGTCAACCTAGCTATGGGGAGATGTAAAAAGCTTTCTCTCCAAGGGTCTCCAAGCAGATCTTCTGGTGGCTACAAGGCAGCATCAAACCACATGACAGTAGTATCAGTTTTTGCTTTAATTAACATTCGTACCAAATAAACGGTATCGCCCATACAAGACATGCTGTATTCATTATCGTCACAGACACCAAATGATCCTGTCCAAGATGACGGTGAAGACAATATGCCCGAGTCAGTGCCAAGATGTGGTGCGAGTTCCTCATTAGGCTGCCCCTATGGCTTATCAGTGATACCGGGTACGATAGGGGCCTGGGAGTCTTCAGATGTAGCCTTAGCATATGCCTGACCGAAATATGGATTATGAGTATGAATTATGGCGTGTGCATGTATATATAAGTTATTTTGTGTGTTGATATTACATTGTACATGCTATGTATGTGCTCCAGGGCCCAACTGTAAAGCACTGTCCTAAAGACTGGCCACCCTGGCAAAGTAAAACAGAAAGAAGGAACAATTGCAAGCCAATGTCATTGCCCCCTAGCGGCCATTCCCCATACCAGTGATGTGCACATGTCATGACCATCTGCCCTGTTGTGACAAACTTTAGACTTGTCTATCCGCGCAATCGTATAACCTGTTGGTCCTACCCTACGTCGCTGTGTGGCGTGATTTTAATTTCCCATGTCGGAGCTCAAGTGTCGATGTCGAGAGAGTACGACCTCTTCGCTAGCGTTCAGCAAACTCAAGGCCAGAGTATATTGGAACAGACGAGCACATGTGGAAATGATTCCAGTCTTGAAGTTCTCAGCGTTTTCCAAAAGTTCTGTACGCTGCGTGGAACCCTCAAGATACCTCACCTAACCTATCACCGATTCAACTTGGGAATTTTTGGCAGTTTTCACAACCAGCAAAATAAACCGTGACAGACTGCGTGACCATATTTGCACTGACGGACCATATTTGGTATGGAGAGCAAGAGCCAATAGGCAAACAGCATTTTCTATATGCATGGCCTGATTGGCCAATTTGCAAGTGGTGATACATCATTTCACAGCGGAAGACGATGATAATGATTAGTCCTGGCATAACAGACCAAAGATAGTCTGGATGCCAGCCTTGTTAGTTTTACCCACTACCTCGGTAGGATCGGTGGGAGCGGACCAAAGCTAACAAGGCTGGCATCCAGGCTAGACAAAAGATTCCTTTGTTATCTTCAATGCTCAAGCAATCTCAGTTTGGATTTAATAGTCTGTGACAATCTGACATGCTGTCTACATTTACACTTAACCACGAAGGTATAATTTTCGATAAACCAAGTTGATGCAAAGAATCAATCACTAAGGAAAATAGATGACCCTTCTGTCCAGACCACTTCTAGTGAAGCCATCACCACACACGTTATTGATGATACCCGTGAGTGCATTGACGTGGGGTCTCTGTCTCTGTCTGGGTGATGAAGAAGAGACTGTAATTCAATCCCCGGTTGGCATTAATCATTGCTGACCTAGTTTACTGCAAGTCAACTTTCTAGTGCTGAGCTGGCCAAAGAACTACTAGCCTGGTATCCAGCCCTGTACTTGTCTGCGTAGCAAGGGTACATTCCGAAGCTATGGTCATATGCTGCAGAGGGCCAGTATACCAGGCTATATATCACCTCTCTTGCGTATGGTCATTTATATTCATAATATGAGGGCAACTGAGTGCAGTAAAGTCTCCATCTCTTCTATTCTCCTGTCTGGCATGAAGGCATCACTGTGAAGTCGTGTCATGGGAAGTTTTGAAACGCTGCGCTCTGATTGAATCAAAGGCAATTTGCGTCAACCGCGAAAGCGCTTGAGGCAAGTAGAAGTGAGAATAGATGTCAGATAAATTGTTCCTCCAATCTGTGCCATTTTTACATTCGTGGATTTGAAGAGAATTGTTCTGTTCTGGTAAAGGCATCACTGCAAGATACTGACGTAAATGTATAGAAGACTGACCCTGACATGCTAGAAATAGAAACTAGAGACACGAGAGATGAACCGCAATGACGGGTCACTCCTACCCTGCCGGGTCGGGACCACAAGTGGGTTAGAGCGAACTGGTCACGAGCCGTTAGTCGTTAGTCCTGGCATCAAATTAGTTCCGCCTGACTCTGCTCCTAATAATAGGAAAGAACCTCTTTCTATGCAGTAAATTGTTTCAGGCATCTTGTGCCACGTACATTCAGTTACATGGCTACCACATGGGACCCAAGAGCATCGCGACCTTGTCGACTGTATGTCAGCACAAAACTCACGTGGAACAGTTTATTTCAAACCAGTCCCTTCTTCGTTGCATTTTTTACAAAGAGCACATTGTGTCCTGGGAATTCAAAGAACTCACGATGAGGTTAACTTGATTTTAAATCATCGCCACTTCACATGTTATCACTTATTCTTTTCGTCTTGGAAGACGGTCTACAGCTGAACTTCTTGCGGTGAATCATTTTTGGGGTTTCTACAATAGTTGTCGATACCTCGGCGTGCAAACAAACTTTGCTAACTGCCCCACATGTATATCTAGCAAATCTAGATGTTTCAAGACAAAAGGTCTAGTCTATACTTCTCCGGATTCTTTGAGACTGGTGTTCAGTTAGTTTACAAAGGAAATGTCTACGTTTCAGACACCACAGATAGCTACCTGGTAATGCTGATAACTTTCTTTGATTTTCTGCACCATTTAACCGTAACCTGACTTGAAGTGGCCCTTCCAAAAATAGCACACCGTCCATAGATAAGCATTCCTCATCACCGAGTATTGACACTTCGGGGGCACAGGACGGCACAAATGATGCCGAATTTAGAATCTTCTCGTACGCATCATCGACATCCACACCACATGTTCACAAGACGGCCCTGTCGTTGGAGCAGACACTTGGGCGAATTTACTGTCACAAAGTCGCGCCACGATTCAGATTACTTCGACATTTAGATATTATCAGGAAAATTAACACAGTACATGCCAAGCCCACGTGGGAAATGGAGTTTAGGCCTCAGGTAATCTGGCATGTGTCTGGAGGTTTGCGATCCACGGACAATCCACAAAACAGAAAGATATATTAACCTTCTTATCGGAGGACGTTCAACACCATAATTCATAATTCTATGATTTGTATACTACAATATCCTTTAGGATTTAGGACATGTATATATGTTGTCATTGTAAAATCGTTCTGTGTGAAACCATGCATGTTTTCTCATTTTCGCATGCATGGCCATCCAAAAGCATCCAATGCAATTTCGGGGCGGCAAAATGGCTGAGAAACCTCTGATATTGGCAGACTGCCATTTCTTACCACTGTTTCGTCATCATTTCATTTGAAATAGTCCAAAAATAAGCCACGTGAGGCATTTTGGTACCACCCATAAAAAGCTAGAACCACTAAAACAAGCAACCGTTCCGTCAGCGACATCATTTTTGCCTCACAGGCACCAGTATGCTATGGGATAGGAAACTGATTTAAATTTGTAATAGAATGACAAGAAAAGTGACTTTGAAAATCCAGTTTTGCTGCCCTGAAATCGTTTTGGGTGCCTTTTAAGATTTTACACCTGGAGGTTGAACAGCTGATCAGGGACAAGTTTATCTGATTTTGTCCTTTGCCTGATAAACCACGCACACATACCGTAATATTCTCAGTGCTGCAGAATGCATTCTTGGGTCAGATCAAAAGCTGTGGTGTTAACCTAGTGTCTGACCAAACTACGTGGGAGCGGTGTAATACACGATACACAAACTCAAACCCCTCCTACCGTGGTAGAAAAGAAATCTCAGCACAATTTGCAGAGCACTGAACGCAGGGACCGTTGCGTTAATATGAAGCACACAATATTGACATACCATGTGGGAAACATCGTAGCGTGTGCAGGTATAATTTGAACCCTTCTTACAGCTAGCCTGACATCCAGTCACAATGGTGGTACAGACATGTACATGTAAGTTATAACAAGAAAGGGTAACGGTGAAGGTTCCATGGCTGGCCATAGCCTTTTTCAGGGCCGTAGGGTCAGTGGGTTGTTAATCCACTGTGTCTAGGTCACGGTATTGGAAGGCGGAGCCCATCTCTCTCCTTCCACCGCCTTTTATCCTTTTACTTCCCCAACCGACGTCAGTATTTTACACCTGGGTAGAGCGGGGAAAATCGTGTAATTTACCAACGACTTTACATGATGTCCTTGAAGTTACCAAGGTCATAACGTCTAGCCAGGAATACGAGGAATCAAACCCATGACCTCTCGATCTCGTGTCCGCTCGTTTCGCCACTCGAGCCATCGACGCTACTTCGTCCATCGACGCGGGCAATTAAGTTTGGGAGCAGCTATTAAAAGGTAATTATAATATGTCTGGAGTTCAGGCCGTCCAGGTCTTGCAGCATGTCTAACCCTGTGATCGTGGCGATACACTAGACAGGCTGCCCTCCGCCAGCCGACCATGTGTTGCGGATTTGGCCGTGGCGATCGATCAAAGGACATCAGTACCAACATGGCGCGAACAGACAGCAGAGCTCTCCAGCTCCACGCACCGTGAACATGTCGACAGCCATTCTCCTCCACGCGACATGGAGATATGATCCTCATGAAACATATCCATTTGCATCGAACAAGCAAATCCTTCAAGCATACCTATTCTCCGGCGTCCTCTATTATTACATGATAACACATTTGTGCCTTTACACTTCCTCTAACGACTCTAATCAGATGATAAGAGGACTGGGAGCTAACTGTAACATATGCAATGCAAAACGAGTACTTACACACCACGAATGTAGTCCAATGCTGAGGGAAGGAATCGACGACAGAACTACACTGGTTCACTCGGGTTCCAGGAGTTGAGCTTCGCGATAGAGCTGTGTATGGCCGTCTCCAATTAGAGAACTGCTGGGACGGGAATGACCTGAGCCTAGGAGCAGGGCCTACAGGGTCGGAGTGTTTCCCAGTCCGATTGGCGGCTGAGGCTAAACAAACCACACGCGACTTTTGCGCCAATGGAAAGCGTATGTCTGCACCAGCCAGCACACGGTAGGTAATCATCAAAGGCTGTGACTGGGGCTCGGCGGGAGACGCAGCGCCAATTGCCTACCACAGTCTCCTATCACATCACGTATCCAATGACTGCGGCCATCACCGCAGACTGATATGAAACGTCAGCGGTCTGACATCCTGACACATCACCGCCGCGGAGCGATACATACACCTGGTCAAAAACCTCAAGTCTGGAAAGGGAACGATAATGAAGAAAAGTTACACTAATTTGACTGTGAGAAGGAGACAGGACCTGGTCCCTGTCCAACCTAGAATCATCCTCGTAACATTGATCTGGTCATGCTGCGCGGAGGCTACTGAGGGCAGCCTGGTTTTCATAACTGTTAGGTTCAAACTTATCTGACGATGGAATCAAATTCGTATTTGAAAATATTATAACTCAAACCACACCAGGTCCTTTTCCTGTGGTAGATTTTATCACAGTCCTTTCATATATTGACGAAAAAATGTTTAATGGCGAATACAACGTAAACAGCTCCTAGACCAGTACCCATGCCATATCTATGACGCAGACCCGTTCTGCCAAACCACTGGTAATGAACTTGAGGGGAACATTGAACTCTAACACTGAACCAGTTGAGATTTGTCCCAGGTGTTTGGAGCGAGGGAAAGGCGGAACAAATGTGGTAATCTAGTCCAGTCAGCCAACAGAAGATTTCCTAGAAACCAAGGTTAAGGCTGACACCGTAGGTTAGATATACATTTGTTTTAACTAAAACAAAAAAAGATGGTCTGACAGGAAGATATACCTATTCTTGGTTGTAGGCCAAGATCTGAAATCATGGGAAAGGTCGGGAGCTAAATCCTAACCCGTGGCCCAGTAATTATTTCACATTGCAGGAACGTATTAGCGGTCAGCAGCTTTCCGTCAAAGATATTAAAAGTGAAATTGCACCTATGTTTTGCAATCTTCAGAATACAAGCATGTATACGAGAGAGAAGCATGTTGCAATGGCGGAGGTATACATGTTCCTGGTTTGGTATCTTTGTGGATGTGATAAATCTTGCCCCAAAATGGGACAGCCTCGTCTGCCCCTGCACCTGTCTGTCAAACGGGACTCCCCGGTATATTAATAGTGCTGGCAGGGACGAAGGCCTGGGCAAGGACGCTCGTCAACTCTAATGAGGGACAGTACGTTATTCAGATGTGAGAGCTCCCATGTAAAACTGTATTCTACTAGCCCCTACCAGGCTTCGGGAGGCGACTGGAAAGAGTAGAAATCGGCCAAATAGAGAGATAACATGCCACGGGAGTTTGTGTGCTGGGAGAGAACACAGTTTTGCGGCAAAATGTTCTCTCCCAGCAGACAAACTCCCCTGGCATGTCATCTCTCTATTTGGCCGATGTCTACTCTTTCCAGTCGCTTCCCAAAGCCTAGTAGAATGCAACCCCAGAAGTATTGTTGTACAGAGTCAAGAAAGAGACGAGGACGCAATGATCATAACACTGTAAATTTCATGCTCGATAGTTTTATCCACAGAGGACGGAAGTTGAAAGAAATGAGACACAAAGCTAAAAGAAAAAGAGTTTAACCTCACGCAGTGATTGAACAAAAATCAATGTAATTTACTACAGAACCACCTTTCTTTACAAAGCACATTCCGTATCAGCTACTGTACAGAGTACATGTGATCTTCGCTTCTGTTGTTTTTCCCGTCTTTGTGGATTTAGTAGCGCAACAAAATCCTTGCCCTTTTCTCAACACTCTTGAATACAAGTTAATCCGTTGATATGATCGGCAACGTACGGTACTTCTTTTATTTGTCATTATGCACCACAGACTTATTCTTAAATCTTTTTTCCAAACGGTACCATAGATGATCTAATTCTTATTTGAGAGAACTGATCGATTTTGATGTCTTTATACTTTTGACATTGATCATAGCTTATATATGACTTGCATCATTTTTCAATGCTAGAAAAAGTTCATCAAAGATACGTCCTCGGCGTTAGATTTTCTCAGACTGTTAAAGAGGAAGTGGAAACAAAAGTGAAAACTGAAGAACAAAACGTGTTGGTTCTCCGTAGGTCTGGGCCTTGTTGGATCGTCGGTATGTTCGCCTAGCAGGATCAAACTCAGTCTTCCTCCGCCTCGTACACTGGAAGTAGAAGCAGATAACTTTGTTATCAAAAGTAACGCTTTCCAGTCGGTGTTATATCGTTATATTATAGTCTAAATACGGAGCATGTTGTCAGGGCATCCAAGACTCACATACCACAAACATACTCATATATACCCACATTTTATTACTGTGTTATTTACACCATTTATCACTGCATATTTTACTGTATTATTGTATCATACCATATTGCCCCATTCAGTCAGATATCACATGTTTTATAATATGTATGGAGCACAACATCAGTTAATTTGCTGCCTAGTGCAGTGCTCCACCATGTATTGTTGTTGCAATTTGAACGAAGTACATAAAATTTTAGGAAATTATACACCCACAACGCAATGCCTAAAACCACTTTTTGAAGAGTTAGTATGTAAGTTTTCTTACTTTGCCAATGTTTTGATAAGTGTGCATCGATACAAGTGCAATCATATATCATAGCATTACGTTGGACCAAGGAGGTTACACTTCTATGGTTGGGCAGAACTTTTGACGGTAGTATAGTAAACTCACCCTGACAGAACTCGTTGGTGGGATCGGGTTGGTAGCCGTCCGGACACGTGATCACACACGTACCGTACCTGGAACAGAACGTCAACGTCGTCGTCAGTGATAGTGATTAAGAAGTTCCAAAAAGACCCTCAAAAAGTTTCGTAACGTCAGCAGAAGGGTTTCAGAGGAGACCGTCGGGCAAGTGTTGTGCAATGGGTTCAGTGAAAAATGAAGCATATTTCATCAGTGTAAACGCTCTCATTATGGGACTGAATGGAAGACGCTTTTGGAGACAGTTACCACAATCTCTCCAAAATTTTCACTATCTAAAAGACCTACATTTCTTCTAACATCACAAAACCCACTTATTTTTAAGACAAGACGTAGGGCTATCCATTAGTCGCTGCCTCTAAAAGAAAAAGTCAAAACCTCCAGTGAGGTACGTAGAAACATTAGATGGATGTATAGACCAAACACTTTTTACCTTTTACGTTATTATAACTGTGTGTTCCCTTGCAATTAGCCTCCGGGCAAGAGCTTGCAATAATCTAGTGAAATGTCTGACTTACTTTGACCGGGCACAGTTGCCGTCCACGAAGTGCGCGAGGTATCCCTGCATGCACTGAAAACAGCCGTACTCATAGTGGCACTGTTTCTGCACACAGTGGTCCGGGCACTCTGTAAGGACAGACGACAACACATAATATTACTGGTCATGTTGTCAGGCCAATGAGTACCGAGCGAAACAGTTTTCTTTCAGGAGGAAACAACTGGCCAAATGAATCCGAAGAAGTGAACATTTTCTTTACCACATGTTTACCACTAATAAACTGTTACAAAAATATCTCTTCTCTGTTATGAGCTCATGATACATTGTAATTGTGCATCTAAGTCTAGTTTTATCAGCTTGAGTCCAATTATTTGAGTCACACATCGTCATCACACTCACGTCCCCCAACCAACCGGCTTGCTTTTTCTAAGAGTTTTTCTTGTTAAACAGTGGAAAACTTTTTAATAAGTACTTGTAAAGGTGGTGTGCATACAACCTATCTAACAATTAACTGATACAGGTAATCAGGAAAACACTAAAAGTATTAACTAATTGGGCAATTAATCACACTCAGTCATCACAAGATTATCTCTGGCTTAGGGCTCCGGTTTCTTTTCCAACACTCTACTTTGCTTTGACTGTCTGCGATATCCAGACTGGTCCCCTGCCCACATGCTGAAGTTAGCCTAGCCTACCGTGCAGACTTTTCTAGCGGTATGAATTTGTTTCTATGATTCTATGAGTGCGGCGGTTTCTTTTCTAGAGCTGTACTAGGAGAGCTGCATCGGAGGTAGGGCTGATTTGGGGTTGGGGGAGAGAAAGGAAAACGTCGCATTCATATATATATAGAGAGAAAGAGGGACAAACGCATTTGGCTCAGTAATGTCTGCGCAGGAGGCTAGTAGAAGCAAACCGCCAATGGCGATGTCGGCACATGTCGGAGCCGTCCACTGTGTGTTCAAGTGACACGGCATAGATGAACTATTGATAACAGGTCACGTACGGGTTCATTATCGGGGCACCTTTGCGTGCAGTGCGTTAAACCCCTGTCATGGCTTGTTTCCAACTTCTCTCCGTACATTTGGACCTTGTTTTGGACACTTGCTTTGATAGATTTGCTGCTTTCTGACGTCCCAGTCAAGCCCCGGAACCGCCTGACTCCCGACTTCCCATTAATTAACCATTTAGTTCTCTAAATGGATTTCCGATTTCACGTCTTGAAAAGGGCGTGTGCACGTCACTATGGTCATTTTTCAAGCCGCCTCTTTGTTCACTTTGAAGTGCAAGCTCTTAAAATCGCACTTTTTGTCTGCTGTCTGTTGAATCACGTGCACAAAGGTACAAGGAGTGTGTAGTCTTGGCTGGGATCCCAGGCGTGACCTCATAGGTGTGCAATGGCCCATGCCCCTCAATGACCCGTAGCCTCAGAGTAGGCCCGTGCCCCTCAATGGCCCGTGGCCCTCCTTCAGGTGAAGACCTGCAACTCCCAGAGACTATCCCAAGATTGAAAATGAAGGCTCCCGTTGGAATCCTTATTCAGTAACATGACAACTCATAAGTATCTTCCCCCAGCGACCTTTTGAAGTTTTCAGGCCCACACCTTGTGATGTCAAGAAAACCCGCTGAAAACACCTGCTTTCACTCAGAAGCCTGTCGTTTGGTGCGATCTGTCGGCAGTCAGAGGTTGCGCGCCCCAGCTGCGCGCTAAGTCTCTGGGAATGTCGCTGCAGTCAAGGATCTGTTCTATATAGGATTTAAATGCCAGCGCACCTTGTCTCAAACAAGGTCATTGAGCACCAAAATCTGTTCGACAGTGTTGCTAACACTGATACTCATCTGTTAGAACTAGTACCCCTACACGACAATGTTGGTTACGTTGTGCTTCTATGGCACACTGTGAGACTCTGACCTGCGGGGACCAGTCATGCCTGGTGTGCTGCGCCATATCAGACCTCCTCGGTTATTTATCAACGCTGCGCTTATGTCTCGACAGATTAGTCCCAAGACGGGGCAGGTGTGACCAAAAGGAAGAACGATTTCATACCAGTAGTTCAAAGCTGATTTTGGCAACAACAGAAGGAAACAGGGTAAGAGAACACAAAAACTAAGAACGGACACTTTTGAGTTTGAATGATCGACTGATCTTCCTCAAAGCATCCCATAATATGCTTCTAATTCTACTAAGTTGTAGACTAAAGCAACCTCACCGTTTATATGAAACGCCAGGATACCGGATGTGGCAACGTTTCCAAGACGGCCTTCCTGTTTTGATCAGTATTTCTTGGATCAAGGACATTAAATGAGAGTAAATTCTGAGCGAAATTTTCCAGATAAACTTTTTTCCATCTTGTCCCGATTCTCCGGGCGTAGTCCGAGTCAAACATTATGGGGACATTTGAAATGCACTGTCATAGCATTGATATTGTCCAAAATAGAGGGATATGCTAGCTTCTATCCGACTAACAACGCAGGTCCATAAAATATAGCCAAATAGGGAGAATAATTGGCCAGGGGAGTCTTGCCACCGTAGAGAGTTTATTTGCCGCCTTCGGAGAGCCCGCGGACTGACTTTCCTTGCTGGCAGCGGAGCAGCTGACATAGCTGCAGGTAGCTACGGTACACTCCTATGGGTGGCCGCTGGCGAGCTTTTTTTTGGCAAGATATCCCCTCTATTGTGGTCAACATCTACTAGTTTTTCAAGCCGCAGAGGGAGACTACGTCCGGGAGCACCATGGGACAAATAAGCACTGCCAAGTCCTCTGATAAAATATCCCCCTATTTTGGCCGATTTGAACTACTAGTATTTTTTAATCAGCTGAAACGTCTGGTAGAGAATAGGATTTCCATAGAACCGTGCTTTTCTGGGGTTCTGTACGGAGGTCGTGTCGACCGCTACCTTTATCATCACCATTTCATCATCTATCCCTTATATACGAGTAGTCTTGGCCGTCTCTTACACATTACTCACGTTTAAACCCATAGACGTTTCATATGCAGATCGGTAAACAGAAAAGAAGGAAAGAAGCAAGGTATAAAAAATGAAATTCATGTTGAATAATAAAAAAATATAATGTCCTTGAACAAATCAAACAGAACCGTAGTACACAACAAACCTCCATAAAAGTCGAACGCCTCTGTCACCAAGGCCAGCGACAGCAAGGCTGTCGCCAGCAAGACAGCCGTCAGACGCATGCTGTCCGTTTGGGCTGGCCTGAAGATGGAAAAATTGGGCCAAGATCTGCAAAAAGAAACCTTCGCCTCCCAATCACACAGGTCCCGACCGACACGGCTCCGTCGCTTGTCGGTAAAAACTCCCTCTGTGGCTTTTTCTGCTGCGTATCTAAGCCGGGCCCATCATTTGTCTTGACTAACTGAAGGAGGTATTGTGCTAGAGACAATACCTGACCAAAAACGATCTACAGGTCACGATGGATGAAGAAATAATGAACGTTCAAATTCAACGGTTGCTGTGTTTTTCCCTGGACTATTTTCTGGTTGTCACGCGTTGTTCAACCCACAAGACGTGAGACTATGCAGAAGTTTTAAAGTTTTGAAGATTGATTTATAATACTTCGGAAAAATGGTTCTTTTTTTGTCAGACTGTCCCGCGTCCCGAATCGGCAAACAAGCACTGCTCAATGTTATTTCCGTTCGTTAATGGGTGACTGGGACATTACGAACGTAATGGCTATAAACAATGGCGTTTGTGTAGGGATTAGTGTGAACAATCGTTACGGAGACATTATCATAAAGTTGGAGGCGCCTTTCAGTGGTCCTCGGTGCCCTTGGTGACACGGTACACAGAGAGTGGAGTTTGCTCAGGGTTCGAATTAGCTGACCTTTGACGACCTATGTGCACTTGAATGTGTGAAAATTTGAATGGATGCTAAAAGTTGCAATCTAGAAATTGTCTCTTTGTGTATGCGTGTGTGTGTGTGTGTGTGTGTCAGTGTGTGTGTGTGTGTGTTTGTGTATGCTTGCGTGTGTAAATGTGTGAGTGCTCGCCTGTATTTGTGTCTACTGATGTGTAGTATGTGTTTGTGTCTGTCTGTTTGTCTGGTTGTTTGTTCGTGTGTGTATGTATGTGTATGTCTCTGTGAGTGCATGCGTGCGTGCACCTGTGCGAATATGCATCGTGCTTTTTGGTTGTGTCTTATATGTTTGTGGTTCCTTCTATTCAATAGAATTGCACCAAAGATGCAACCACGCAATAAATGGCCCATATACATGTAGTACCACAAACTGTACTTCGACTCTTCCCGCAAGAGGCCCCCACTTCCAGCTCTCGATGGTCTATACTTTATTGCATGCCATCAATGGAAACATCTATCGCAATGCCAACTCCAGACTACAGATTCCATCAGCTGGATTTGCTTGGAATTGGATTTGACTTGACTTGACTCTGCTGGTTGGATTTACGTGAAGTTTGGTGAGGAAGGAGTTTTCCTATCGAAGTAATGAAAAGTTCAGCTATCTTGGGCTTCAATGTATAATGCACATAGCAAGTACATGTAATTGTAACGTTTACTGCAGCTGGTACTTTGCGGTGCAGCAGCGTCATTTGACGAGCTTTTTAAAAACTGCAGTTGTTTCCAGGCGCAAGAGACTGAAAAGTGAAAGGTGTTTTGAAAAAACTACTTTCTTTCCAATCAAAACACTCATTTGCCGAGACGGGAGATCCATTATCATTAATTTTTACAAAAAATTTCAAACAGAAATTTGTATCTATTATAGAAATTTATTCTGTTCAAATGTATTATTTAGCGCTCGCCTGTGGTGGTATTGTTGTTGTCGTTTGCCAGCGCTCATCATGTTGATGACGTCAGCACAAGTCAAGCCCAGGAATGAATAGTAGCGGTAAAGGCAGGATCTGAGTCAACCTTTCGGGCGAAAATCGCCGTCGTTTTCCTCTTCTTTTTGACGTTTTATGGGTTCCTGACCAAGCTACAAGCCATGGCCAGAGATACAGAAGTGAGCTGCTTGGTCAAGTACCTGGTTTTTGGCTTCAACGTGATATTTTGGGTGAGTACACGGCGGAACATCCAAAACATTTTTCTTCCTTCACACAGTGGTGTATGTTATGATGTGTTTTTAGTGACCCACTGTAAGTTACACCAGACAGTGTAGTGTTGTTTTTGCCATGTTGTATCACAATCTATGCGTACTAGAAACCACACAACACGATTATGTACCAGCAGGCTTAATTAAACCTCCAGAAACATAGCCATTTTTGCCTGTAAACCACATTCCTGCTTTTAAAAAATGATTAATTTTTGTACAGCCAAAAATGAAAGCAGAGGGGGGGGGGGTGAAATCCTATATGTATAGACCTGCGTGATCCATGGGATTTAGAAATCCCTGGAGTTTCAAGGCAGACAATTTCCTGAAGGTGGCCCGAGTCACGACTGTAAACAGCGTGGGTGTATTATAAATGTTTATGGTCCTCGCCCAGAAGCAAGACTCATAAATTATTTTGAAGGATATGGGTAACGTTAACGTTACTGCGGTACCAAATTAATTATCATTTCCTTATGTTTGTGGGTAGAACAGATGTTGAAATGTAACTTTTTTGCTTGGTTTCTAGACGTTATGTCGCCGTGATAATAGCCCAAAAATTTTGATGATTCATCTATACCTCGGACCTGTATATGAGTGAATGCTGTTTTTGTTTACATCACGTAACAAGCAAATCATTTGAAGACATATAGTTACGCAAATTATTGGTTAGCCAAATCACCCAACTGTCACCAGGTTTCTGTCTACCTCTCGCTGTCCGTGGCGTCATGGCCAATGTTCATATAAAAATCATTTATCAGAACTTGAGTCTTCTTGCAGTTGCACGAACCCCTATCCTAGTTGTGACGCCATGTGTACAAGTCACAGCGAAACGTCAACATTGACAATGGATCGTCTTTGGGCGAAACATTGTGGCAGCCTTTGTTCTTGTTTCGTAGCTTTGACAGTTGTGCCTAAAGTCTTTGATAGAAGCTCCTTGATTAAACATAGCATCAGTGTGCTAAACCAATCAAATGTAGAACATGCCAGTAGTTCCCTTCTTCAAGGTAAGAAAGACTCAAGTCTTTAAAGTCTGAACCTAAAGTTGACCCCATAAGCTTGCTTAGACAGTATTTTCGAGCTGAAAAGTATGATACCAAAAACACAATGTTATCACCAAACTGCAGAAACGAATCACCGTTTAAGCCGTATAATTCCCTGAGTTAAGTGCCTGGATCGTAACTTTTCGCGGCTGTCTGTTGCTGTCAGATTACAGTGTGCTTGATAAAGACAGACGAGACACCGCCATGGATTTCAAAATTAATTCTACGCCATAATTGACGGTACTGTTGTTGCACCTTGACAAAGTGTCCCAGAGTACTGCAGTTAGATTACTCCAGAGAAGTTGACCTTTAGGCAATCTATTTTTCTATGTGCTACATTAGGTTAAATCTTGTGGAAATGGATTATATATCTTGTCTATACAGGTAAAACTTGATAGTTCTGCATATCGACTGTCTGCCCTAAATACCTAACCGCCATATACTGGTATTTTCCAGGCAATTCCAGCTTACTGTAGTGCAAGGTCAAGTTCAGCCAAACCTTGTTTGGTCATAATTGCCAGGTAGTTCTGCAGCCTGGGACTAGTCCTGGTGATCATAAGGTCATTCTTTCCCAAGGGATAATATCAATCTCCAAAGTGAGATGGGACTATCTGGTTCCCAGGTAGTCCAGGTAATGATTATTGGCCTTGCTGGAACCAGTGAACTGTGAATACAAGGCCTTTTAAATGATGATAAAAAAATGTGTGTTGAAATAAACAGTTGTAATAGTTGTAAAATGTACATTAACAATTATACTAACTAGTAGATCAGGAAACATGCCTCTTTGTATATCATATGAATCCCATTCCAATTGTAGTGTTGCATTGGGGAAAAATTTTTGTTTATCATGACAAATTCCATCAAGTGAAGGAAAGACAGATGCTGGCTAGAACACTGCGGTTTGCCCTCTGTAAAATCAATTTACCAGTAATGATCCTACCATCATCCAAGTTTAACCATTACATACACCCGGCATCAATGTCTACATATAGGCAGACACTGTCTCTGATGGCCATCTTGTAATCTGGTGTTTTTCTGTAGGGATGAAGCAACTACACAGAATCAATACACTCTATTACCAGGACCTATGTACAAATGTACATGTGCATGTGTAGATAATCAGGGCTCAAAATACCACCTGCACATACAGGTTAGTGCAGGTAAAATTGGAGCTGTGCAGGTAATTCTGATGTCTACTTCCTCCAGTCCATGTGCTGGGTTTATATACTGTTGTGTGGATTTTTATTTGATACATTAGCTATTACCAAGTATAAAACAAATACTAGTAATGACAATGGTTTCTGTACAGTTTTTAGTAATGATCCATACTTTCTAAATTCTGAATGGTGCAGGTAAAATTTATCTGGTGCAGGAAATTTTCCATGTTACCATGCATCAGTGCAAGGATGCAGAAAAAAGGATTTCGAGGCCTGAAAATGTTCAACATCAACATCAGTGTAATCTTGCCAAAAACCTGTGCACATTTTCTGTAAACTGTTTTTAAGTTGGAAAAGCCTATTACTCAGGATTAATATGAAGGAGGAATCACATTGATAAATCATACTACTACTAGCTGAGCTAATGGCAGGGTACGGTTACAAACATGCGATCTCGGTTGTCCTTGCTTGACAGACTGAATAGAACATGTTCAAATATCGTGAATGACAAAGCTGCATTTCCTAATGTTAGTCAGTTTCTGCCCTAGAGCATTCTTCATGTCACACTGATAGCTCATTCATGAGCCACATACTTGAATTTATATATACAAAGTCATTATAGCAGCTAAGCTTACAGGCTTTTGCAAGGTCTGTTCTGTTTATAATGAAACCATAATTTGTCCATCTGTGTACATGAACCTCCTCTGGTAATAGTTCTAGGTCCTGAGGTACGTTGCTTATCGTAAGACTACACCTGTGCCCAATCAACCATTTACTTCCTTCTCTCAATGATTCATAGGAGCCACCAGGTACAAGTTGTGCCAGGTACGCCCCAGCACACCTGTATGTATTGTTGACACACATCAAAGCAACCTGGTGTTGCTTACAACTTACAGTTACATGTAGCCGTTTACTTGTCAAGCCTGTAAAGAAGTTTAGCTCATATTACCTTCCCTATTTTTGATGAGAAGTTTTATCACATCCAGTACTCAAAATACCATTTCTGTATCCTTGCACTGGTACAGGGTAACCTTCAAAATTACCTACACCAGACAGGTTTCACCTGCACCACTCAGAATTTAGGAAGTATGATCACGCTAAAAACTGTTCAGAAACCATTGCCATTATTTCTTTTATACTTCATAGGTTACCAGGTAACAGTCAGGTAACATACACCAGTCCTACATGTATATAAATCCAGTACAGACCAGTACAGGTAGACATCAGAAATACATGTACCTGTACAGCTCCAATTTTACCTGCACTAATCTGCATATTAAGCAGGTGGTATTTCCGACATATATATTTGCTGCTATTTTCTAGACTTGGCGTCCTTTAAAGAAATAAAAAAAAATATGAAACAGCACTTTTTGAAAAATGCACTATAGAAAGCTTTTGCTGTTATCTTCCCATGCAAGTCTTGTTGGAAAGTCCATTTTGATCCTCCATTGAATGCTGCCATAAATTCCCTCGTCTCCATTAAATGCAACAATTTTATGTGCGTCTTAATGACTTGCTTCATACGTGGGCCAGACACGTTTGCTAACAATCATCCGTATGTGACCTTGCTTGGCAGCAGCTACAATGAGGTTCCCATTACCAACAGTTATCCAGACTCAACTGAATAACACCTAGTACGTACATTTGTATGCAGGCTAGTGTAGCTAAAACTTGATCTGTGCAGGTATTTTTGATGTCTACCTGTACAAAAATTAACCTAACTTGCACTGGTCCTTGACAAAATCAGCCCCAAACATTAGGGTGATATATGACCAGCAGTGGTCAAAAACTGGGCTCTTCAAAGTGGCATCACAGCAGAGAACGTCGTAAAATTATGGTGTACTGTTACTAGGAACACTTTGTTTTTTGTTTTTTTGGTAACTGACTAAAGGTGCAGGTAAACTTGTCTGGTGCAGGTACTGTAATTTTAAATGTTGCCAGTAATACCAGTGCATGTATAACTATATACCTTGTAATGCATCTCAAAAAAAAAAAATGATGTGAAAATGATGTGAAACTGGAGTTATGGTTTGTCCATTATATTCATATTGTTACTCTTATTTTGCTGCACTGCGTCAGCAACCCAGCACCAGGTATAATCTGTTTATGTACACAGACAGGGTGTGGTTCTGTGTTGTAGTACTTGTGTGCGTCAGCGTGTTTGTGTATGCATGTGTGGACGATTTCCGTGTTGCCTTGGTCCTTTGTCTGGGTCCTTGCCTCAAGTTTGGATTGGTTTTTCTCAGAAAGGTTTTCAATGAATAATTTTTGACATGTAATTTCATCATATGTCTGGGTGTAAATGTAAACATTATAATTCACATGTAGGGCACATAGCCTTGAAAGACTTTATCAAAGAACAGAGCTTACATTTCAGACTACTCATATTGTATGTACCTAATTACATTTTCTTGCAACTTTAGATCTGGTAATGTAATTTGGTGATGGGAATAACAGAAGCCACTGTTACCATATACAAACACAGTGTCCCTATAGTAACTCTCTGTTTACTTTCAACATAAAAGTAAAGTATTACAGGGACCCTTTGTACATGTTTATGGACATGAAGAACTGTAGTACTTCAACAAGTATAGTACAACTTCAAATACAGTACAAGAACAAAACTTACAGTATGTCTTGTTATGTTCATGACATTGTCTTACATCATGTAGAAAATTGCAAAGCTGTATAAGCTTTAATTTTCACATTTTATCTTAATTTACAGATGTATTTTGTAGAAGGGATATATACGGACAAAGGAACAGTT